ACTTTGACTGGGCCATTGCAACACCTTGATTCTTTTCTTTTTCAGCCATTCTGTTGTAGATTTGCTGGTGTGCTTGGGATCATTGTGTTGCATGAACCAATATCGGCCAAGCTTTAGCTGTTGGACAGATGGCCTCACATTTGACTCTAGAATAATTTGACATACAGAGGAGTTCATGGTCGACTCAATGACTGCAAGGTGCCCAGGACCTGTGGCTGCAAAACAAGCCCAAATCATCACCCCTCCACCACCGTGCTTGACGGTTGGTATGAGATGTTTGTGCTGATATGCCGTGTTTGGTTTTCGGCAAACATTTCCACTGTGGTCTCGTCTGCCCAAAGGACAGTGTTCCAGAAGTCTTATGATTTATTCAGATGCAACTGAACAATCAAGGTGACATTGGTGTTCTATATCTGTTACGTGCTGTTTGAAAAGAGTTTTGCCCTGATCATGACCCATGCTGTGTAGACCCAAGGATGACATTTTTAGTGGCCACTGGATGTTTCTACACAGATTGGAAGTTGTCATTCATCATTAGTGGGGCATGACCGTGGGGAAAGAAAGATAATCTGACCCAGTGGTTGAGTATGGGCAGCCAGACTCTAGCCTTCACTTTCATAAAGCCTATGTCCAATCACAAAGTGGAATTAGAGACAGAGATTTGAAGAAGTGCTTTTAGAAATTTGTATGGTGCAAAATTGGGGAAAGGACCCAGCTGGACACCATAGAGAAACTGTGCTGATGGCTGGGCATCAAATAACCTGAGAGCTGTGGGTATATATTGGCAACATTTTGTCTTTAGGTATTTAAGGATGATTGGCTGGGCTAAAGGTGTCAGTTCAGCTACAGACTGATGCCAGAATGGGTCCCCAAAGTCCAGATTGTTTTTAATGGCCATCTGAAAAAAAAGTTCCTCCCCAGGGCCTTCTCTGATCTTAGTTGGGCAACAAGGCTCTTTTTCTCTGATACTGACACTGGTGTTCACGTTAGCAGGTCTTCCACAGATTGACTTCAGTAGAGGTGTCCACATACAGTTACTGGAAATACATTTCCCAGGTCCATGGACATGTGACAGTCCACCATAGATAGACTGTTGCAGTATGAGCTTGATGTGATTTGACTCAGGTCTGATTCCTGGATCTTGGATTTGTCTGTAGAGTTGCTTGTATTCCCTGAACTTTTGGGTTCCTTCTCTGTGGTGAGATTTATAATCACTATAAAGACCCTGGGTCTCAGACTGATCTCCCATGCTTGTAATTGCTGTCACAGCACACTCATTCATTCAAATCACTCAGATCCTTCCTGTTTCTCTTAGTTATCAATTTTTTCTTTTTTGAAATTTCATTTGTGAATTCCTGCTCTTGACCAATTACATCTTTGTATGTCTGTCAGTATAGTTCATGTAGTTGATGAGATGCAGGCAACAGAATGGTGGGTTACTAGGTTGTCTTTCAGAAATTTGTCTTGCATAGATAGGGCAATCATGCTTGGGTTAAAATTCAATTTTGGCTATTCTTGTGGCATAGTAGCTGAATTGTGACAAATACTGAATAGTATTGCCTTTCCCAGTAGCAGAGAATGCAGCACATAAGGTGAGTAGAACTGAGGCTGGTAACCTCTTATTCTTTCTGTGTCTACTTAAATGCATTATATCATATGATCAATGGGTTGGAAGGGACCTTGAAGTTCGTCTAATCCAATCCCCTACCCAGTTGTTATCCTTGCCAGGAAAAATCAATTTTGATTTGTACTGCAACCATCATATTCTCAGAGCTTTCTTCATGTTTGAGGGTGACATTCCTTTAGGAGAGATAACTAGAGAATGTTGATGTCCTGTTCCTATGATATGAAATGCCCTAATGAATTTAGGCCAGGTTCATCACTATACAGGGTAGGGCATTCCCAAAACTACATTTGCTATAATAAATGTCAAGGCATCTATTGAAGAGGTCCACAATTCCTTCATACATTTTGTTTTTAATGCCCCTTGCTCCTGATTATTCAGTCTTTAGACAAACAAAGAGCAGATTTTTTTTTCACAAGGAAAAAACAGAAATACCTCATAAAATTAAGTGGGGAATAGTCCAAAAGAATATCAGAGGCACTACCAGAAATAAAAAAAGAAGCTTGGTTTCTTCTAGGTATACAAAGAGGAACTCAACAAAATCTTGGACATACAGAAATAACAGATGCAGCATTTTTCTGTGATGAATGTAGTGATTAACTTTTTCTTTTCTTTTTTTTCTTCAAACCAGCTTATAGGCAGAAGCATGAGAATTTTAAGGAGCCCAGTGTAGTGCTATTACAAGGGATGCTTGGAAATCAAGAGGCATCACAAAGAAGTAAGAAAAACTGCATAATGAATGGAGGGAAGAACTCTTCTCCTTTTGGATATAATGAACTCCATGACTTCCCAACCCAGCTAGTTCACCAACGAGAAGAAAAAGGAAAATATATTGGATGTAGTGAAAGAGACAAAGAGAAGTTTGATTTCAGTAAACATTGTACAACCCTGACTAAAGAAGAACAATATGAATATCAAGAGGATGGGAGAAGTATCAGTTATACCTCCTCTTTTAATTTACATCACCAGTCATATCTGAAAGAAACACCATATACATTTATAAATTGTGGGGAAAGTTTCAATTTGAGCAGTCATCTTATTTCCCATAAAAATGAAAAACTGTATGCGTATGAAGAGGGTTCCAGTAAGAAACAGTTGCTTATTTTACCTGCAGAAACTCCCCCACGGGAGAAACCATATAAATGTCTGCAGTGTGGAAAGGCCTTCACTCAGAGATGTAAACTTATCATACATGAAAGGATCCACACAGGGGAGAAACCATATGTATGTCTGGTATGTGGAAAGACCTTCACTCAGAGATGTAAACTAATCATACATGAAAGGATCCATACAGGGGAGAAACCATATATATGCCTGGTGTGTGGAAGAAGATTCAATCAGAGTGGTCACCTAACAAGACATAAAAGAACCCACACGGGGGAGAAACCATATACATGTCTAAAGTGTGGAAGGAAGTTCAGTGAAAGTTCAAGCCTTGTGATGCATGTAAGAAGCCACACGGGAGAGAAACCATATATATGTACGGAATGTGGAAAGAGCTTCCGTCAGAACAGTGTCTTTGTTTGCCATAAAAGGATCCACACAGGAGAAAAACCATACAAATGCCTGGAGTGTGGAAAAAGCTTCAGTCAGAACAGTAGCCTTTTGAAACATAAAAGAATTCACACAGGGGAAAAACCGTATCAATGCCTGGAATGTGGAAAGAGATTCAGTGTACGCTCAGATCTTACATATCACAGAAAAATGCACACAGGGGAAAAAACACATAAGTGCTTGGAATGTGGAAAGAGCTTCAATTGCAGCCGTTACTTTATTCGCCATAAAAAGATCCACACGGGAGAAAAACCATACAAATGCCCGGAGTGTGGAAAGAGCTTCAGTCAGAACAGTCACCTTATCAAACATAAAAGAATTCACACAGGGGAGAAACCATATCAATGCCTGGAGTGTGGAAAGAGTTTTAGTGCAGCCTTGCATCTTACATATCATAGAAGAATGCACACAGGGGAAAAACCATATAAGTGTTTGGAATGTGGAAAGAGTTTCAATTGCAGCAGTTATTTTATTTGCCATAAAAGGATTCACACAGGGGAAAAACCGTATAAATGCCTGGAATGTGGAAAGAGATTCAATAGGAGCAGTCACCTTGCTTATCATAAAAGGATGCATACAGGAGAGAAACCATATAAATGCACAGAGTGTGGAAAGAGCTTTTCATATAATAATGGCCTTAGATACCATCAAAGAATCCACACTGGGGAGAAACCATATACATGCTTAAAGTGTGGAAGGAAGTTCAGTGCAAGTGCAAACCTTATGATGCATATAAGAATCCACACAGGGGAGAAACCATATAAATGTATGGAATGTGGAAAGAGCTTCCGTCAGAACAGTGTCTTTATTTGCCATAAAAGGATCCACACTGGAGAAAAACCATACAAATGCTTGGAGTGTGGGAAGAATTTCCGTCAGAACAGTAACCTTATCATACATAAAATAATCCACACTGGAGAAAAACCATACAAATGCACAGAGTGTGGAAAGAGCTTCAGTCACAAAAGTCACCTAACAAGACATAAAAAAATTCATACAGGAGAGAAACCCTGTAAGTGCACAGATTGTGGAAAGAGTTTCAGTCGGAATAGTCACCTTACGAAACATAAAAGAATTCACACAAGAGAGAAACTGTAACTTGGCAGCTTTTATCACAAGTATTTTCTTCTCATAAAGGGACCTACAAGGGAAAAACAGTAGAAATATGTGGACTGTAAAGTTCAGTTGCAAGAGTAGCATTATCAGAGCTAAAGGAATCCACATGGAGGAACCATAAAAACATCTGAAGTGTGGAAATAGATTAAAAAGGGGCACTGCACTTATTTCTCATAAGTCCTATTGTGGGAAGAATGCCCAGAGTGCATAGAAACTCTCAATATCAGACTGATCTTTTAAGACCTGTCGTCTTACATCCCAGAGGGATTCCACTCAGGACAGAAACTCTGTAAATGAGTGGAATGTGGCCCTGGCAAAGAACGCCCCCCTTTTGTTGCTTGAAAATGAATCATAATCATTGCCAAATAATATTTCTGATAACCCAACATGGGAAGCCATATTGTTTTGAATGTGATGCACATAAAAGAGGCGAAGGGTTTTTGATCATGCCGTGTGGATACCATTTTGATCCCCTGCAGATACCCTTAATACCCTGGAGCTGAGCTTGACTTGTTATAACTTCCTCCATTCAGTTGTTCTTGGCATTATTACCGCTTTGACATTTTTTAATGACTTTTTTTCCTTCCAACCTGCAGTGCTAATGCTCCAGGTGATCGTAGTCCTGTGGCCCAGCTTCACTTTTGAGATCAGCCTGGGTTAGTAACTGCTGTCACTTGTTGAGGCATAAGAGGTCCTAAATATGCACTCACAAACATTTTCTATGAGAAAAGGAAAGGTATTGGTAAAGAAAATGTGTTGAATAAGAAAAGATTGAAGAACCCCAAAGAGGAATGCCTGGAGGAGGAGTTGTTGTTGTTGTTTAGTATTGTTGGTCGCACAGTCAGCCAAATGTTTAGACTGGACTTGGCATTTTATCCACCTATCAAGTCCTTCCCAAGGACTTGGGATAGGCAGATGCTGTTGTTTGGTGGTGCTAAAGGTATTGTTGCAGGATGTCAGTTGTTCCAAGTAAATCTCCCGTTTGCAATTGACTGATGGTGATTTTGTCAATGCTGATGGTGATCAAGTGGTGCTCCATATGTTTTGGGATTGCACCCAAGGCGCCTATTACTATTGGTACTACCTTTGCTTTCTTTTGCCACAGTCATTCTACTTCT